CTGTGGAAACTGCTATTAATGGAAGTTGAGCAAAGGCGCTATAGCCACAGACGTACATGGCCTGAGTTGAAAATTTGGCCATTGCCAATTTAAAAGATGTCTCGGATCGTAAAACATCCATGATTTTTTTAAGTCCACGTGAACATTCTCCTGGTTAACGATAGGGCAGACAAATAACAGCTAAGGTCTATTTCATTCAGCACAATGGCGGGCCATAAAAGAGTAATAAAGGCTCTACTATTTGATCTTTGATTACATTTAATGTTGGCAAACGTTTGCGACTCCTGTTTGCTCAATGGGTCCAAGCAAACCGTCAATAGATAGAGGTGTCAGTTACCTTTACGGAATGACGGAGTTGAGATACCAAAGGCTTCTTTTGTAATTACCTGCATTGCCTACACCCAGGTTGGTTAGTATAAGTGCACAACTTTTAAAAAATGCAGTGGAGGTTACCTTAGATTGAGGATTAAAACGTTATTTTGTAAAAGAATAACCAGGTTAAGAAATGACGACCTAATACCTATCCACTGCCTCTTTCCAGCCATAAATATATTTCTTGAACCGCGAGAAGTTCTTTTTCCTTACCAACTGAGGAAGTTCATCCTCTGTTAGGACGTAAATCCCAGCGGTTCTCATCATTGTTGCTCTTATTCCTTCGAATGCAGTGCAGTTTGTGACTACGTGCTCGATAGTCTCTAGAACTCCACAAGTGGGGTATTGGGGATCTATATCCTTGTCAATGTAGCTTAGCTCGAAAATCTCCCTACCCCGTGAGGAAATGTGAAACACAATAATCCGGGAGGACCTATTGTGCATCCAGCCGCGAATATACGATAGGGAAGTATTTCCTAAGAGTACTCACTTTCGGTGTAGTCACCCATCGACGGCTCTATTCCTCAGTTATATCCTTCCCGATTATCTTCTTCCATTTGTAGGGACTTTCCACAATCTTCACCCGTAGATCTTATGAAACTCCTGCCAAGACTTCTTTTTTTAACGTTAGTTTAGTTCACTTCTCGTAGGAGGAGGTCGAGAGGTACCGCCCCCGCTAGGATCTGCACTGCTTCATGTGATGTTGTCCTAAACGGTATGGTGACACGCAACAGGTCCATCCTCTGGATCGATGCCAATCTTTTACGCTATCGTTGTGTGAGGTTTGTTACCTCAAGAAACCCAGTACAACGGCTTTATATATATGCAATATATAGTAAAGGAAAGTATTGCGATCGTGAAAATTTTCGAATCTCAGTTTTCAATGGAATGATACGCTTTGAGGTCCCCAGAGTCCAGATAACCTAGTCTTGCTAAATGGTCTGTGTGTATGTGAACTCTCTAGCTCAAAAACGAAAAGTCGTACGAAACTGAAATTGCATATCTAAGGTTTTTATATAGCTGGGATTTTACAGCAACATTTTCCTTCAAATCAGCTAACCAAAAATGCCTCTTTGTATCAACGGTGAAACACATTTGTACAATTTTCTCTAAAACGGCTCTAACGATTTTGATTAAATTCGTTGTATCATTGTATAATGAAGTAATATTTAATATATTTTAGGTCTTATCCCTATTGATGTCGCTTAACAGGGTTTAAATGCCCAATGTTAAAATTTCTTTGTCTAAAATACCTGTAGTTTGATTTATTTTAAATAATTAACTATCTCTCATTATTAAGAGTTACGATAAAAGTCTAAATATAATTTTTTAAAGAATTTGATAATTGAATAAAGGAGAAAAATGCTAATTTAGATCGAAAATGAATCTCCTTAAATAATAATCACAATGTATACTAATAATATATATCGTTATAATATTATTAAATATTAAATATTATCTAACAAATAAAGTTGAAGAAGCTAACGGAGAGTGATGAAAAATATATAAATAGTAATTTCTAAAAAATAACATAATTTAACGTAAATTACAAATAATTCCGAGGAAATTAAATGAGATTTTCTTACTAAATGAATACTTTTTAAAAAATTTTAAGTTTGAAAAAAAAATATTGCAGATCCACCGAATCAAGGCCATGGCATTATTAAAAATATTATTTTATTGTGCTTGTGTGAAAGAGGAAGGAAATATAAAAATATTTCATGGATATGTTTATCGCCTTAGGGCTAGACTATAGTTGTTTGACAAAATAGAACGTAGTGGTTCAGTTAAACAAATAGTTTGAAAAATTGGAGGAAAAATGTACGCAGTTTCGACTAGACGATGTTGGCGTGGCCTTCACATATTTTATTAGAAATATACTAAAATCTTCTGATCATCACGAAATATTAGGTTTACTGCAACAATTTTTACTTCCTCCCTTCCGTAGGTATGTTAGCTTTGCATTCTTGAGGAAAGTAAAAAACTTTTTTATTGATAATCGAAAATGTTGCACTCAGATTTTACGTTTTGGACATCAAGGAACAAATTTAGTTTCGCTTTGGTTCTCTGTCTGTAGTCAAATCCTTGTTAGAAACAAATCACTTACAAACATTAAATCTGTTTTGATGACGTTTTCGAAGATTGATGTTAAATAGACATCCCTATTTCAATTTTACCTAGTACTTCTGCTTTCGTTTTTCGTAAGCGTGTTATGATATAATGTAACCGTGTTATGATACATGATATGTTCAAAATTTGACGCAAGTTAGTGATAAATGAAAAAATTGATCCGGCATCAATTTTTTCCAATTACATCCCATCCTTTCTAAGGACGTGCAAACATATTTTGCTGGATTCTACGTTTTTTATTTTACGGTGATTTTCCCGGGCCGGGGGAGTGGGTGGGGGATTAACGCCTAATTTAATTGCCCCCCGGCACCGGGACGTGGAATAATTATTTTTCATCTTCATACTTTATTTTATCAAATCATCTGATGCAAACGCGTTAGCCCGCTCGGCCACCCCGCTCCCCTTCCTCAATGCTACTATATTGGTGACTTGCAGTCTGATAAACCGAATATTACATGTTCATATCCAGGTGACACAGAGACTTTAAATTCTGGCAGTAATCCGTCATTCTTTCTCTTGACCTGGAAAAGACGCTTTATAACCAAACAGGCGAGCAATGGGAGAAAATGAAAAGAAATGAAGAAAAGAAAAAAAAAATGCTCCTATGTCTAAAACAGGGTTCATTCCTTTGATCCAGATTGAGGAATAATGTACTGATATCCAGTAATAATAGTCTAATATCCATTTTCATGTAAACATTAATGTAATTCTTTAAAATATAAAAGTTGTAATATTTGGTAGGCAGTAACCATACGACAATGGAAGGTTATATAAGTTTTTTTTAACCTAATGCGATTTATTAGACCTGTTTTTATTGGATTCTTTTAAACATACAGTTATAAATAAAATCATGATCTTAGTGAAGTGGATGCGTACACGCCTATTTTCGGGTCAATTATTTTCCGTAACCGTTTTAATTTGAACGACGTAATTCTTTGGATATTTGAGATCTTGGAAGAGCTTAATGTCACACATCTCTAATGGCCTCATCAGCACTTTATAGATTGTGAATATCTATTTAAATAAAATAAAGATTTTGTCTGTACATTGAATAGAATCAACCCGTTTTATGATATCTTTCTGTTTCATACATTGCAGACACCAAATCCACTTTTAAAAATTTTGTTGTCTGTCAGTATGTCCGCATTGCAACGAAATTTTGTCAGGGGTAAGCTCAGCAATGGCTTATTGTTGACTTTTGAAATTTTCACATTATATTAAGGTTTACTTGACTTAAAACATAGGCTTTAGATGAAAACAAAATATTGTGTATAATTAAAGTTATGAATTCTTGAGTAATTTTTCTAGAGATCTCGGTTAATGTTGATAATAAATGTTAATAATAAACATATGTTTATAGGTTAAAGAACATCTATATAAATAAAATAAAGGTTTTGTCTGTATATTGAATATAATCAAACCATTTCATGATATCTTTCCGTTTTTTACATTACAGACACCAAATCCACTTTTAAAACATTTTTTTGTCTGTCTGTCCGCATTGCAACGAAATTTTGTCAGGGATAAGCTCAGCAATGGCTTATTGCAGACTTTTAAAATTTTGACATTATATTAAGGTTTACTTGACTAAAATATAGGCTTTAAATGAAAACAAAATATTGAATAGAACCAGAGTTATGAATTCTTGGGTAATTTGTATAGAGTTCCCGGTTAGGCAGTTACTTCGATTCTCATTACAACCTACTCTACCACGAGCAGGTTGTAATATTAACAGTTGTACTATTCAACTGATGGAAAAAATTATCACAACTCAACGGGAAAAATGAGAAATATAAAACATCTGTAACGCGTTGCCGCTTAAAACACACTCATTTTTCAACTTTGTCCGATCTTCCCGTTCAAGATGTCATTCTATTCAACTTTCAGAGCCTAACAAATGTTGTCGTATACATTTTTAGGATTAACCTAACGGATTAGCCGGAAACCGGAAGAAAATCTTCTAAAAATTAAAATTACCTCTCCCCCCTCACCCAATGTTATGAAATTATCTCAAATAAAGATACTCAAACTGTAACTACATACTCGTCAACGATGGGTACTACGCTAGTATTGACTAAACGATAATAAGAAACGTGTTTTAAGTAATTTAAATTATAGTCGACAGTTCAGTTGTTTTTTGAGCTCTAATATAGGGGGGGGGGTATTATTTGCGCTCTAATAATTTTCATGCCTGTGTTTTTTTAAAAGTTAATCTTAATTATTTATCTTTTTTAGAACTTCTTTATTGAGAAATATTATAAGCTTTCCTTAAAGGAAATTTATAATAGTGTTCAGAGATCACATTCATACTCTATGTCCATTAAAGAGAAGTAAAATAAATATAATAAATAAGAATAAAATTAGTTCTTAATTGAATTGAACTAGAAATACAATAAAATCGTAATGCTCCTCAACTGTGAGTTTGCTAAATTATAAATGCTTAGAATTACGATTTAGATTTTTATATAAAAAATTACAATCGAACTGAAAATACTCACATCCAAAAGAAAAGATGATCACTTTTATGCGTAAATGCCGGGGAATAAGATTTATGTGCACCATTTTGGGTTAAGCTTGGGACTGGTCACTTACTATCTCCCATGTATTGTAACGAGGAACTGGACCAATCAATCTGAAATAGACATGCAACAGTTAATATTCTGATTTATTATGAATTAAATAGTTAATTTTAAAAATAATGTTATGAAATATAATGTATTTTGTAGTTTCATGCACATTAAGTGAAATTAACATTAATCACTTTATTTGTTATAGATTTCAATCAGCGTAGAGTTTCACTAGTGCTTTATTCAGGCAAGCTCCTAATGTCTTTACAACTTACAGCTTGCATTTTTCAATTGCATTTTTGCAATTTACAGCTTGTATTCCAAACCGCAACCAGCTCTTTCGATTTCCCTTCTAAACTTCAAAGTATTAAGAGGTCAGCATTTTAAACTAGATGAAGCTGTTGCAGGGTAAGACGTAGGTGTTAATAAATTTTAATTTATAAACCTCATATTCATGTAATTTGTGGACGTCAGTCATATTGTTATGTCCCCTATCTTAAATTGGGTTTGTTTAGCCTAAAATATTGAAAATAAAATAAAATTTAATTTTTTCTATGGATTTTCGTTCCATCTTTTTTCAGTGAAAAACACATACTAATTACAATATGTACCTTGAAACTGTACTGAACATTGTTTATGTTTGTGACTTTTTTTTTTTTAATACGCAGTGATAAACTCTTTAGCATTTTTGTGTTCGCTTATGATTAAGACTCACGGATATAAAATCCAAAATATTACTTTTAGAAAACGGCTTCTTCCAAAGATTTTATTCTGAAATAAAAAAAACAAAACATATACCTTGAAATATAGAGAATTGTGTAATCAATTAAAATAGTGAGGAATTATAGACTGGCCTTACTTAACAGACATTTTTATATGATTTTCAAAGATTTTTTATTCATTTGAAATATCGCCTTGAAATATCTGTTGTTTTAAATTCTTATCATGCAGTGAAAGTGCAAATGAACATTAATCAAATACACAATAATTCTTATATAATCCATATCATAGAAAAAAAAAAGAGATAAACGGATTACAACTTATCATTGTCAAAAATAATCCTCCAAAGTTTTGAAATTATGTAGGAAAAAAATAAAAACAAATAAAGAAAGAAATAACGTGTGAATTGAAAAAAAAACCTTAATAAAATATAATATTTTCATACTAAAATTAACTATAAACAAGAAAATAAAATAATGATATCAAATAAACAGGATTACTTTGACCTTTAATAAAGCTTTTCCTTTAGGCACGAAAACAAAGGGAAAAGTAAATATTATAAGAATCCTAAAATAAGTTATTACATAGCGTTTCATCACATAATGAAAATTGTGTTTTATGTTGTATTTGAACAACCATCAACTGTTCAGAACAGAAAATAATTTAGTAAAAAATTCTTAATGAATTCATTATCATAAATGATGGAATAATATCGATTTGCAGATATGTTACATATGTTTACATCAAGTCGAATCTTTTGAAGATAAACCTTTTCCATCATCTTAAAAAGCGTTGTGAATCAGTATTTTTATCAGAACTTTTTCATTTATACCAGTGAAGTGGCTGAGGGAGAAGCGTAGGGATCTCCTAAGCCTCCACTTTCCCTCCACATGTGGAAGGGACAGGATTGGTTAGGAGATCACCTGGCAAATTGTAAATAATGTATATAGGTATGTTTTACATAAGATGTTTATTTTACTTTTATTTCTATTTTTACTTACTTATGTGTATATATATATTTTTTTTCTTTTCTCTTTTGTTCTTTTTTCTTATTCTTTTGTTATTACTTTATTTATTTATATTTTTGTATATACGGTATGAATGTTCTCTGTGAACTCTATTACAAGTGTCCTTAACTGTGACAAATTGTAATATTTCTCAATAAAGTGTTTAAAAAAAAAAAAAAAAAACTTTTTCATTGACTCCCTTATAGTGTAGTTGAGGCGAACAATATCTTTTACCAATTTTTAATTTTGCATATTACTGATTTCATATTATATTTTAAAAATTAAGATGTAATATTTAGATAAAGGTCGTGAAAAATTCCGAACAGTTACTAAGAAATGTTGAAATAAGATTATAAGTGAAAATTAATTAAAAACAAAATTTTTGTTCTGATTTTTATGTTATGTTATCAGGAACACTTTATTTTTCTGTAGCTGCATTGCATTTTAAACCAGTTTTGAAATTGCATTTTTGAATTCGTTATTTATGAAATAAATTCGTGTAGTTCACGATATTGATATAATTTTTTTCCAAAAGAAAAATATAAATTTTCATCACGTCTATCAATATTTATACTTCCATGAAGCCCTCATTCAGGATATTTGTCTACATCCAATCCACCTTCCGATTTGCAATGAACTTTTTTATCCATAATTTTCGGGAATAATTATTGACGGTATTTGTAACAGGTTTCAGTGCTACTAATTCTAACTTACTCCATAACAAGAGAGTTAAATTCATTTTTTTTAAACAACCTTACTGTAAAAACAAAAATACAAAATATTTCCTTAAATCAGACGAAAACTTTTTTTTTAGTGATAATTTTCTCTTTTTGGATTTCATCAGTTAACACAAGGACTGAAGCGTTTTGAAAATCAGTCGCAAATATTTATAAATATCAGTTGGATATTTATTCATCTGAGCATTAGATATAATAAACATGGTTATTTAAATACATATACATATTAAAATATTGTGTTTTTAGTTTTCATTTTTATTAAACAAATTCTCTCTATTCTAGGTTTTTCTAGTTTCTGAATTACGATCTCCACTGAATTACTTTCTAATAACATTTTATTACTATTTTAATAATCGTAAGTCTAGCATTAACAAGAGTTGTTTTAAAATTTAAATTCCTTAAAAATTTTTTATCTTTAGTTATTCATACGTGAGTAAAAAAATATTTAAACGAAATGTATAAGTACTTGTAAAATACTATTTATTCAAATAATCACACCTCTCGTCAATGTATAATGCAATACTACCTTTTTTAAAATGATGAAACAATATTTAAATTAAAAAAAAAATATTGTTTATATATACCTTTGCGCTTGATGATTTCTCAGCAGGACTTGAAGAATTACTGTTACTCTACTGACCTCCTCTCCTCTAGAATTTTTCACCAGGTTTAATTTGCGGCTTTCGAGGATGAAAAGGCTCAATTATTATCAAGAAATTTAATTCTGACAGATTATGCTGATATATCTAGTATCATTATTGGCAAATGAACGAATTAAAAAATTAAATATTAAATCCCTCTGTATAAATTTTATGAAGATCTTAAATTTCATTACATCGTCCGTATCACGAGAAAATATCCTATATGCCATTTTTGTGGTTTTTATATTATGGCTCCATAGTATTAATTGGCATATAATGAGATGTATACAAACCATTTGATCCTAACAGTGCATTAAAAAAAACAAAAAAAAAAAAAAAACGTCTACCAATTAAGGTCAGTATAGCTTCCTCGCCGTTTTCATTTGCTAAAAAATATTTATATTAAAAGGTCTAAAAATTTTCTTTTGTGAATAAAATCTCTGAAAGAATCCGCTTTCGGAAATTCAGTAATCCCTGAACATATACAAGCTTGATAATCACGGGTTTTATTTATCAGGAAATAGTAAAATACAAAGAAGTTCCGCATTTGCAGATTGCATATTGGATAATTAGTAATTAAAACAAAAATTCCAGTGCATACTGCATATGTATCTCGCTAGTGTTAGTGCAAATCCCGTATGTAAAAATTGATTGTTTTACAGGAGAGCATAAAAACTAATTATTTCTTTATGATTTATTAGTATAATTTTATATTGTATTGCCCTCTGTTATTTTTCATAGTAATAGACTAATTATATCAATTGCAGACTACATTATGTCAAAAATAGAATAAAAATCGAAAACTTTTATATACGATCTTCGCACTAACAGTAGTGATGTATACTTAATAGGTCTGTTTTCTCTCGTATAATGGAAGGAACAAAAAATCCATTGGAAAAATTCAACTTTTTGTTTGTTCGGAGTTAACGAGACCAATACTTTTCTTCAGTCAGAACAAAAATAATAAAGCTGGAATATAAAAATATGAGTGAAGTGGGCACAATTTTGATATTTAAAGAGAAAATCGAGTCCATGACGAGCTGGTTGAATTTCAATGGAAATAAACACAATCACAAATAAGATTTTTTTTTACAATTTCAGAGTAAAAATTACTTTAAATTTACTGAAAATTACACGAAATCTAAGTACTGGCAATAAGTATAATCACGTTTGGAATCGTCCAAACAATAAAATATAAATACTTTTTTTTTAATAAAACTTAACATTTTATAACCCCATAACAATATTGTAATAACTAAACTCCCACTCTATATGATCAGTGCCTTCCACATTTCACAGCCATTATATTTTTAACAATCATTTATATTAATTTTAATTATTAAATGAAATTCAATTAAATTGATACTAAGAATTTCTATACTGTTGTCCAAATTTCCTCCAAGTTTGGGTCAAATCAAATGCGCCGTTTTCAAACTATTGGCATACCAAATAACACATTTCCTGATCTGAAAGCGGAATTATTTTTTTCTGGAGTGTTAAATTGAATTTCATAATATCGATGCTTATTTCATTTTACGTTTACTAATCCCTAAATTCCCTCCAAATTTGAGCCAAATCAAACTTGCAGTTTTAGAGATATAGACGTATCATGGAAAACAGGTTTGGGCATGTATAAGAAAACGCAATGGACAGAATTCAATAAAATTGACCCTACATTATTTTTTCACAAATACCTACCTTTTATCCAACTTTGAGCCAAATCGAACGAGCCATTTCTGAAATATTGGGATATCTACAAAGAATTTAATAAAATTGATATGGGACCATCTAGGCACCAACCCGCACAATTTCTTAAAAATCGGATAAACGGTAGTTGGTGATATGCCCGTTACATCGATTTGACTACAGACAGACACCGAATCAAATTTG